TGCCTACCTGCTTGGTCCCCTGGGAGGAAATGCTGGAAGGACGGTTTCTCTTGGATTTTTTCCATGCTGGTCTAGGTGCCCCCATTCTGTCTGGTGGCAGGCTGGCCTGGGAAGCACGTTGTGGCTCCTGTGTGTTCAGACTGCTGGAGCATCACATCACAGCTTCTCTCCATGAAGTTTATATTTTGCTCTATCAGGACATTTTCTTTTGGGGCTATTACAGCCTCTGCAACCTTTCCCTGAACTCTGTGTCCCATAATAGATAACTTGTATCCTAGTTTCTGCCCCTGCACCACTGCAGTGTTGGGGCTAGAGGTATAGACTGCCCTGATTTGATGTGCAGGTTCCAAGAAGTAGGTACTATTCTCACTTACACAGTTTTATGAAGTTAGGGACATCTTCAGGAGCTCTGAGTGGTCTCTGGTACTCTATGGCTTGTCACCACAGGCAGAGAAGATAGTTATATTCAAAGATGACTAACCACACATCCCCAAGTAAAGAACAAAGGTCCCCAATCCAGGAAGCCCGTCTAGGGAGACAGAGGGGAAACTGGGGCAACGCAGTTGGCCTCTTCTTCGGCTGTCCCAAGCCCTCCAGGCTTCTCCCTGTGACATTGTGCCAGTCACACTAGGGATGCCCAGTCACACTGGGCCATCCATCACTCACCCCACTGTCCACCTTCATCACTCCCACTCCTAAGAACCAATGGGCAATACCTGTCATGGCTGAATGCACTCCCTGTCTGCAGAGTCTAAAGCTCTCAGACCCTTCCCTGCCAAGTCTTACCTCCCTCTATCCCCCAGAGCAGACCACCCAGGCAGGGCTGCCACAGGGACCTGTGTCCCTGAAGGGCTCGGGATGAGCTGCCAGGGGCTGAAGGAGAAACCAGGCTTGAAGGAGCCTGGCTGATGGGCCTTAAAAAATAAGAGAAGATCTGTTGCTCTGGTCAAGATCAGTATGAGGAAGACAAGAATGTAAAGAATCAGAAGACTCCTTCCAACTCTGCTCCATTGTCTTTGCTATGGTGAACACGGATCTCAGTTGGGCAGGCTACAGCTGAGGGTGGTGACCTAGTTTTAGACTGGGGGAGTGGGGAGCGTGAGGGGAGGTGGTGGTGGCTGATGGCGAGAACATGGATCCAAGTCCCTTGGCAACATTGAAAATATGGAGCCCCTTCTCTTCCTGGTCCCCATGCTATCCTTCAGATGGTCGCGCTGGGCCGCACCATTGGAGACCCTGTAATATCAACTCAACAATGCATGTTCTACAACTACGGCTACAGCTACCAGTACATCTACTACAGTGCATGCATTTAGTTCAGTCCCACAGATACATACAGTCTAAGAACAGGCAGGGAGGTGTGAAATGTTTTACTAGACAACAGGTGTTTTGGAGTTGTAACTGATAAAAAAAAATTGAAAACGAAAGTGTACAAAAAAAAGACATTTCTCGAGAGTTGGATATGAGTTTGTTTCTTGAACTGTTTCATCTGAACAAGCAAAAACATGCAAACCAGCTGGTACTAACAGGAAGCTGGACACTGAGAGAGGATTAATAGGTGTGGACAAACCTTCCCGCTGAGCGTGCTCAGAAGAGTGTTTGAGAGGAGGTGTGCAGATCCTAGTGTAAGAGAGGCGGAAAGTATGCCTCAGAGACACTCTCACCGCAGCCCCAACCAAGCAAGAGAAAAGACAACAGAAACATGACTGCTCACACTCACCACCACCACCATCGGGAGCTCATGTCACTAGATTGGGATAAATCTGGCAAGTATAAAGTACAGTAAGGGGTCCTGGCTGGGGCTGGAGGGTAGTCTGGGGTGGGTAGGGGATGCCAGAGGAGCTCAGCAGCTCTAACAGTGATACACGGACCCACCTGTGAGGTCACCCCCAAATAAAAGTAGCCTGAAAATCGGAACCGCTTCCCTCAGTTTGGGGGGAGGGGGTCAGGGAGAAGTGTCATTTACCAAACTGGATTTACATTTGGATGGGACGAGATGAGTGAGGGTGTCATTGGAACTGAATGAGTACAAGCAAAATAAACAAACAAACTCTTGACTGAGCACAAGAAAAGATGGTATTTCAAGCTACCAGGTGAAGGTGAAAGGAAAGTGACCACTGATAGTGAAGTGATCTAGGAGTCGACAGGGAGCTCCCCTCCTGGGGTCACCTATACCCTGCTCACCTCAGGTCCCAGGGGGTTGGGAAAAGGTCGGCAGGCTGGCCCAGAGGAGTTGGCTGAGGCCAAGGCTCAAGGCCCCCCTTGACCTCCTTGACACCACAGCCCTGACAGATACAAGTTGCCACCCTGAGAAAAATCCATGCTGCCTCTCACCCCACAGCCCTCAGCGGTGCATCCCACCACGGGAAGGGAAGTCATTGTGGAGGGCAGGTAGAGAGGGGACAGAACTAAAATAGTGGAGCTAGATAAAAATAACAACAAAAAGTTGCCTTCCGTAGGATGTCTAATCCCTAACCCGTAGTCCTGGATCCCCAAGGAGCAGAGCCACTTTTCCTACAGTCTGGAGTCACGTGCCAGGTATGTCATAGTACCAGGCTCCAGGAAGGTTTTCAATGGACTCTCCCCAGACACACAGTCAATTTGTACTGACTTCTGCTTCAGGCTGTGTACTCAGGAGGCTGGTGGAGTATCCTTAGCCCCTGAGGAGAACTGGGAAGTATGGAGCAAGGTTTGGGGAGCTGGTACAGGGACATCATGATCATCAGCATCTGGGGACTCTTCCAGGCTCGGAGTAATGCATGTACTGATGTGTGGCCCTTCTCAATTCACAGCACAGACTGTTTGCCAATGAAGGGCTACTCAAGGAAAATTAACTGGTCAACCTGCCAGGCTGAGTTCAGGTCGTTTTCTAGAGGGAAGAAGGTAACAGTCCCCCTACTGGCTAAAATGTGTTAAAAGAAAATGGCAGAGTGATTTCTTACCCAAGTTTATAACCATGGTCCAGGTCCAAAGGTTGGGGCTGGGTTACCTTGTCTACTGTGAGCTCGTCAGACCACTTTTGCTCTACCCTGGGCATAGCTCAAGTCTATGGTCCCCAGGCAGCACTGGAGGCATCCCCTGGGAGTGGGTACCTCAAGTTGAGGATTTACTCCTTGCACTAACCCAGGCTGGGGTGGGCAGGGGTTCGGGAGTACGCTCCTGAATACAATTCACTAACAGTGCAGTGATGAGCATGGCTGACCTTGATGGCCTGTGGGAGATTTCGCTCCCGATGGAAATGGCTACAAATAAAACACCACTGACCTTGGAAAAAAAATGTGTGGTTGGAGATGACCTTGGGGGTTAGGAGTTAGAGGGACGGGTGAGTGGGGCTCCCGCGCCTGACTGTGGGGGTCCGTGTGTGGGCAGAGTGGCAGAAGGGGACACAAAATATGGGGAGATTGCTCTCATTTGCAGAGAACCCCATGCTGCCTTTAAACTTGCCATGAACTAAAGGAGAACGGGGTGGGGTGGGGAGAGAGGCAGGGTTAATTTCGAGTTAAAGTTTAGTTTCATAATCCAAGTTATAAAAAGAAAGAAACTGAATGGAGAAAACAACCAACAATACTCAAAAAACTTCAAGATTGTTCTTTTGATCTTTCTCCCTCCCAGGCACAGGTAGGACCAAGGCTTTTTCCTTTTTCTTTCTTTTTTGATTCTCCCAAAGCATTCAGGTTAAAACACCCAAAAGGACCAGGAACAGGGAGACATGATACACTTGTGCACCCTGCCCTAGGCCCAGGGGTTGGGGGACACCAAGGGACACTGGCCAGAGGGCAGGTGGGGCCTTTAGAGACTACGGTGGACAGAAGATGAGGGTGCCCAGCTATCTGGACCTGCCAGCTCGCCTGCCACTCACCAGCTCTCTGGCAAACTGCCCCTCAGCAGCCCTCTAATTAATTCCCTACCCACCCCAATAAAACTCCAGTGGGCGGTTAGGAGAGAGGATCCTTTGTAGCTCAGAGGCAGTGCCAGTTTGCATGGAACGGATTTTCACTGATGTGTTCTAATGGGCCTCACTGTGATGGTTTCTTAGCACCCAGGGTTTGGGTTTCTTTGGCATTTGCCCTCTGGGCTTTTAGCACTCTATTTCCTGGTACCTTCACCAGCACCCCACCCCATCCCACCCCATCTTCCACCATCTCAGACCCAGTTATATTAAATTAATGCTCCAGCATCCTGCCCACAGGGTGGGGGCAGGGCGGAGGGACAGGGCTGAGAACCAAGCTGCTCAGTATAGGGAAGAACAGGATGGAGGTGCCAGCAGGGGCTGCCCAGTGTGTGGCAGGAAGCCCTGGCACCTAGGAAACCAAAGGGTATTTGGGGAGGGTATAACCCAGTACTGGCTTGACTTTACAGCACTGCTGGGAAAGTGTTCCTTGGTCACTGGAGGGTTCTAGACATTTTAAAAGGCTGTGACAATGTCATGGGAGAGAAAACCCCAATTTCTTTGGTAGCTGGTTGGCTGAACAGACTCTGGGAGTGATAGGGACTCAGATAACGGCAACTTTATTCCTACCCTGTGCTCCAAGATTGGCCCATACCTTAAGGGCCTTAAGGGCTAATGGAGTTGAGCCAAACTGGGAAGCCTACCTAACAGGTTTAGCAGGAACAAGAGCTCACCTGGTACCACTTTGGCTGGGTCAGAGACCCAAGGAAGGGATGCTACTGAACATGGCAAAGCCAAAGACGTTGCTGATGACAGTGCCCAGAAACTATGCCTCAGGGATGAGCACAGAAACCAAAGGGAAATGTAGTTTTCCTTTGTTGATGGGAAGCGCAATTCTACCTGGGGTTTGTGGTCCCTCAACTGTGACTGACTCATGTGGGAGCGGCCCTGGGTGGCTAGACCTTGGTGGTGACTCCCTGTCCCCTTCTCCTCCCCTAGGCCGTGGTGAGAGGAGTGTTGGACAGACACAGCCACACAGATCGGCAGGGCCTTTACCTTTCCCTGCACATGGGGCATGCCTGGGAGCCGCCTGCCCCTCACACCTTCCTACCTGATCCTCGAGCTGCTGCCACTGCTGCCGCTGCCACTGGTCCATAAGCTGCTGCTGGAAAGCCTGGAGAGAGGAAGGGGTAGAGTCAGAAGGAGCCACCAAAGACCCCAGCTCACACAGAACACAGCTGGGAAGGGTTTCATGGACAACTTTGGGGGAGGGGGTTAAAGATCAGTGGCTCTCAGGCTTCTGGAAGATGCAGCATATTTAGATATTTGAATCTCACATCCTGGACACCCCAGAAGTACATTCTAGAAGGCACGCAACAATAACTCAAGAGCATGAGGAAGACAGAGTTGAGGTCTCTACTGACTGTACCACATGGAGCCAGACAGGGAAGGCTGAGGGACTCTACCTAGGGTAGGCCCTGTGGTTTGGCTTGATCTCTCTCAAAGTTTCAGTCTTTCCAGGGTTGTATCACTACCACCACCACCATCATTATTCTGTAATGCTAGGGATAGAACCCAGGGCCTTGTACACGTTAAGTGAGTGATCTACCGAAGACTACATCCCTAGCCCATCCCAAGGCAATTATGGGTAACTTAGATGTGGCTCCTGTGTGTGAACCCATAGTCAAAATGCCAGCTTGCAGGGCCCCCAGGGGCCGCTGGAGTTCATTTTGATCAAGGTTTGTGCTTTCTAAAAATATACTGGGCAGCAAGGCTAGACCAGACAAGAATGAAGTCAGGAGGCCAAGCATGTAGCTGCACAATGTCCACAAGAAAGAGAAGGTTGGCCGAGTTCCTTCTCTTGGGCTTCTCTGGTCACTAGCTTGTCATACATAATCATACACTGGAGCACACACAGACATACTTCCACATACAGAAAGACAAACATCTTCTGTCATCCAGCATGCACTTGCAACCTGATCTCGAGACCTATTTCCGAAAGCTGTGCTTTTTAATGATCTACCAGAAGCCCCTGCAAACTCAACAAACAGCCCCCAACAGAGCTGCTCAACTTTAGCCACTGAGCCTGTCTGACAAGGGACTTCTACAGGACAAGAGGGAGAAGACATGCACCAGAAGCAGGAAGCTGAGGAGCAAAGAGAGGAGAGACATCCTCCACACAGAGCCAACTAGAAGCCCACTAAACTCTAAGACTACGGTCCTAGCTACACGGTACTACAGAGGGAAGAGAAGTTCAAAGGGAATGAGCTACTTTAAGAAGGCCAGGCTAAGCTACTGAAAATGTCAATGAAGAGACATACTTGCATTTAAATATGGTAATAGGGCTGTTGAAGGGGAAAAAGAAAGATCCAGGTGAAATAATTGTACACGGTTCTCCCGGGCTGGGAATGAGTCTCCCAGCTCCCATGAAGACCTTGCTTCTCCCTTCCCAGGGGAGTCGGGGAAGGGACTCCCCACCTAAGTCCTCTCCCCAGCTCTTCCACGCAGGGTCTAGAATTCTGAAGATGTGTTGGTGGGAAGTGCTGAAGGGAAATAAGGAAGAAGTTAGATTATTTCTCTCTGTCCCAACCTCTGTCCACCCAGTCTCCTGTTGCAAGGCCCAGAACAGGGCTCAGGGGATACTAGGGAGGAAGAGTCAGGCAGGGGAGAGGAGGAAGGTCAAATTACTTTTTTGTACTTCCTTACCACAGACATGACACAGAAGGTTTCCTTGGAAGCATGAAAGATGGTGGCTGGAGGAAGGGAGTGTGGTAAGACTTGTTAACAAAAGGACTATTTTCTGGAGCTGAGCACAGTTTGGACAAAAAGTCTGAAAGAGGAAGAAGAAAAACCTTATCCAAGAAAGGAAATCCATTAACCTTCATTCCAGACAAAGGTTTCTATTGGAGATGGAGCACCAGACCCTGCCAGGGTCAGAACGGAGGGTGAACTGAGTGGAGGGTGATCAGAGGTGGCTGCAGGGGAGCCACCCTGTGTGAGGTGACGCAACCCCATGATACCAGGTTCCTCCCTTTGAGGCACTGGGGCTACCACAGCCCTTTCACTGCCTCCCCGTGTCCTGTACCAAGCATGGCCACTTCTACCCTGTCAGGCTGTCTGACTTTAGCAGTTACCCTTCACCGCAACAGGATCTCCACAGCACCTATGAATGGATTTGTGGGGTGGGTAAGCATATATGCAGGGAAGATGTGCTGTATATGATGCGTATATTTAGGAGTCTATGTGTGTGGAGATGGGTATTTGTTGGAGCGGGTTAGGATTTTTAGAAACCAAAGAGGCATCATACAGCCAGTTTTCAGGACAGGCCCTCACAGGGATCTGGTAGAAGCAACGCTCTTTCCTCATAGGGGCTGGCCCTATGGGGCAGAAGTCGGGGGAAGAAACTATGCTGAGCTGCCTCTGGTTTTACCTTTTCTCCACAGGGCCCTGAGGCAGCAGGACCAACTGGGGTAGGTACCTCTTTGGGAAGTCAGGGTATCTCAGGTGGCAAGTAGAGGGCTTCCCTGAAAGGGATGGTTAGGGAAGCCTGTAGGGGATTGGGAAGAGGGTCTGCCAGGGCTCAGGGCTTTGAGAGAGGGTTATGACCCATGCAAAGCTGTGGTATAGCCCCTAGGCGAAAACTGTCCATCTTTTACTGCTGGGAATAAAATGGAGAGTCTGTCCTCCACCAAGTCCATGGCCAAACCATACAGGGGGCAGTGGGGCTACATCTCAACAGACAGATTAGTACAGTACCAAGACACACAGACCAGGAGCCCCTGTTGAGTTCAAATGCTGGCTTAGCTGTTTACCAACTCTGACTGTGAGCAAAGTTCTCTGCCTCAGCATGCCTATCTACACAGAGGATGGTCATAATAGTGCAAGATCAATGCATGCAAAGTGCTTAGACCAATGTCTGGGAGTGAGTCAGTGTAAATGAGTCTTGTCAAGTCTCTGTCCAGTCAACAGCCTCATGTGCAAGTTGGAACTCTTCCTAGACAGGGCCCTGTTCTTCTTTCTCCACACGGTCACAGGGCCATAAGGAAATAGGGGCCTGAACTCCTTACTGGTCATAGTGATCAGTAACCTGTCACCATGTTTCACCATATCATTTTCGTGGAGCTAAATTTCTACAGCTCAAAAAAACACGTATTTCATTTATTTCTACTGATGACAACCATCCAAATGGACAGCAAGGGAATGAAGGGTACATTAGCGGATCCAGCGGAAAGGAATGTTTTGCTGATCAAATCTCAGGGGCTGGGAGCATCAGGCTGGCTGTCTGGGAACAGGAATGTATTATGTTCCTACAGCCCGGGAACCTTCCAGGCAAAGAGAGAATGCCTGGGTACAAAAGAGCTGGCCTATTGGGGAGATTCTAGGTAAGGACAGACTGAATCCTGTAGCATGGTGAATAGGGTCAGACCCTTCGTTCTTTAGCTAGTCTGGTGTCCAGCCCTGGCTGACTTGGTTGCTGTGTGACTTGGGCAGGATGCGTCAACTCCTCTCAGCTTCAAGGAGAGCAGGCAAGATGACCTTCGTAGTCCTCTAGCTGCAGGCCCTGCAGGAGCCTGTGTATGAGCATGTTAACAAAATTCTGAGGTCAGTGACTTGTCTCAGTGAAAGATGCTGCCATACCATGGAGAGTGAATGACACACCTTGCTGACTTTTTGGAGCCATGATGCTTCATCGCAAATTAGAAGTCAATGGTGTTTTTAGTTTTTCTTTTCTTTCCTTTCTTTCCTTCTTTTTAGGATTACAATACTTTTCCTGCTTCTGTGGCACTTACTGGTTTCTGCCTTACCTAAGCACAGCTATTTTTATATGCATATCTTATTTCTCTTGCTGAGTGACAATCACTTCTAGGAGAGGACTCAGTCACAAGGCCCACTGAGATTCCAGCCCCACGTGTCCTCCACAGAAGAATCTTCCCAAGCACCAGCTGATGGTCAGGATGTGCTGATACAGAGAACAACTGAGGGCTGGGAATTGCTCTGGGTCAAGTGCATCAAGGGAGACCTGGAGTCTAGCAGCCTCTGACTCCCCTGATCCTCCAGCTGCATGAATCTCAAATTCAGATGTTCCTAGGAGCAAGGTTACTTGGAGTGTATGGCACATGGGAGTGTCCAGCTCTGCTCTCATGCAGTGATTGTCCACCTGGTTGAGAATCACCTGGCATCACCTGACTTACTGCATTTACAAATGCTGATGCTCCTGGGATCCTGATTGACTTGGTCTTTGACACAGCCAGGCACTGGAGCCTTTAAAAGCTTCTCAAGATAAAGCTGAAGTTGAGAACCTTTGGCTAAAGGCATTCACAATTAAAAAAAAAAAAAAAGTCACGTCACCGACCAGTGGGATGGCTCAGCGGGTAAAAGCCCTTGCTGAAAAGGCCTGACAATCTGAGTTTGATCCCTGCATCCCATGTAAAAGCTGGATATGGTAATTCTAGTACTCTTATAGTAGGTGAGATGGGAGGTTGGAGATGGGAGACTCCCCTAGAAGCCCATGGACCAGCTAGCCTGGAGTAGCAGAGTAGCAGAAATGGGAGACTCCATCTTAACAAAGTGGAAGTGGAGAAGCAATTCCTGAAAGTTGTTCTCTGTTACACAGAGTAACAAATACAATAATAATAAAAATTTAAAGTCAAGTCACTGGGCATAGCTGTACAACCAGTCACCCCTTCTACCTCATGGGAGCAAGGGGTCTCCTGAGAATATAGTGGAGGATCCAATTCTTGTAATCAACCCCCTGTAGAGCCACTGCGGATGTCCCCATTCAGAGCAGTGGATCTGACTAGTCTTGCCTGGAGGAGCTTCAAAAACACAGGCTGCCCTAGTGCCACCTTCATTAGAAGAATCAAGTCTTCCAGAAGGTTTTGATGCACAATGTATACAGGGAAGCCATGATTTAGAGGAAGCCATGGGGGCTTTTACTTTTGGGAAACACTGGAAAGGCACTGTCTGATGGCTGGGGAGTGTTCAACCATGAACCTTTCGGTCTCCTTTCCCCATGTTGGTATGGACGAGATACTGGCTTGGAGGGCACTGCAGGGGGTAGGGTTCTAGCAGGGTCAATACTCATTTCCGGGACCTGGGACAGGTCACGGATCCCTGAAAGGATGGGGAGAAATCCTTTTTTTTGAGACAGGGTCTCCCTGTAGCTCCAGCTGG